CTCTACTGTTTGTAATTATATGAAGAGTATACAACAAGCTACATATACAACTTTAGTCATTATCTATTTTAAGTAGTCTGCTACATAGACATTAGACTACTCAATTGGTTCTATACTATGCTGCTATACCTGTAACCTGCTTATGAGTTACCTATTTAAACACTTTGTTCATTAACCCATGCAAATTCAACCTAATATCATCATAATACCTAACTGCTTAAGCTAGCTAGCTTGTTACAGATCTATTTATTCAGAATAGTTTAGATCCTCCTAGGATATATTATATCAAACATATTGCTAGTATTGCAGAGCTAGTTAACCTCAAAGCAAACTTACTAAAGTAGTCTATACCTATTTTACGAATTCATCTAGTTTAGATCCTTGTAGATATTTGTACAACTCTAGGCTCTACTGTGGTCCTCTACTGATTAGTTAACCTAGTCCTTTTCTAGTATTTAGCTAGTCCTAGTTACCTTTCATTTGAAAACCTTGAAACCTTCTATCTTTATTAGACCAAGTTTTCTTCTCAGATCAAACTTTAGCTGATATAGTCCTGTTGAAAGGCTGTATTACTTTACTAACTCAGGATTTCTACCATGCAGGTTTCTTGCCTATATATTATATCAAGATTTATTCATATAATATTACGTTACATATAAAATTTTATATATATCAATTTCAGCTAAAAAATTATTAAAAAATTTATTCAAATATTTGCGATTATCAAAAGCAATTTTTATAAATAATAAAAACAATATTTCTGTATCTGTGAAATTTTATAAATTTAATATTAGCAATTATCAAAAGTAATTTTTTTATATTTAGTATTATAGCAGAAGTAAATCATATAATTTTACAGATATGAATATTTGTAAAATTTTTTATATATCAATATTAGCTAAAAAATTATTAAAAAATTTATTTAAATATTTGTAATCATCAAAAACAATTTTTATGAATAATAAAAATAACCTTTCTGTATTTCAGTATTACAGTATTATAGCATAGGTAAATCACATGATTTTACAGATATGAATATCTATGAAATTTTATAAATTTAATATTAATAATTATTAAAAGTAATTTTTTTGTATTTCAGTATTATAGCAGAAGTAAATTATATAATTTTATAGATATGAATATCTGTGAAATTTTATTTTTTTTTTGTATTATTAAGGTAGCTTACATTGTCAAAGAAATTTTATTAGAATTGTATACAGAATATATATTGATAATTCCTACTGTTTATAATTACATAAAGAGTATACAACAAGCTATATGTACAACTTTAGTCATTATTTATTTTAAGTAGTCTACTACATAGGCGATTAGACTATCTAATTGGTTCTATACTATGCTACCATACCTGTAACCCACTTGTAAGTTACCTATTTAAATACTCTGTTTATTAACTCATACAGATCTAACCTAATGTCATCACAATATCTAATTACTTAAACCAGCTAGCTTATTACAGATCTATTTATTCAAAATGGCTTAGATCCTCTTAGAATATATTATATCTAATATATTATAGGAATTGCAGATCTAGTTAACCTCAAAATATACCTACTAGAATAGTCTATATTTATTTTATAGATTTATCTAGCTTAGACCCTTGTAGGTGTTTATACAACTCTAGTTCCTACTATGGCTCTCTACTAGATTTTTGTATTCTATCTTCTCAAATATTTTATAAGGCAGATTCTCTTAATTCAGTTAGCTACTAAGCTAAGTTGGTATTACCAATTTTCGCTATGGAACAGATTTATGTATACTTAACTCGATCTGCATTTTTTGATGATAGTTTTTTTTCTGGATCAAGTATTAGCTAGTATAACTATCAAAAGCCGTACTACTTCATCAACTCAGAATTTCTACTATACAGATCCTCTGCTTGTAGATTCTATTAAGATTTATTTATGTAATATTACATCTCACTGAATGCCTCATCACACTTCTAATATCTAGATAATATTAGTGCAACATGATTTATAGGGTTACAATTCTAAAAATGAACAAGGTTTACTATAAGTTAGATACAAAGGTCCAGGTAATTATTCAAATTCATCAACAGTAGGATTTGAACTTCAGACCTCTTATATAATAGTCTGGTAACCTAACCACTACACTAAGATCATCAGACTTCTATGAAATTTTATATATATCAATATTAGCTAAAAAATTATTAAAAAATTTATTCAAATCTTTGTAATCATCAAAAGCAATTTTTATGAATAATAAAAATAATCTTTTTATATTTCAATATTACAGTATTATAGTATAAATAAATCATATAATTTCATAGACATGAATGTTTGTGAAATTTTATAAATTTAATATTAGCTAAAAAATTATTAAAGAATTTATTCAAATATTTGCAATTATCAAAAGCAATTTTTATAAATAATAAAAATAACCTTTCTGTATTTTAGTATTATAGTATTATAGTATAGATAAATTAAATGATTTTATAAATATGAATGTTTATGAAATTTTATATATATTAATATTAGCTAAAAAATTATTAAAAAATTTATTCAAATATTTGCAATTATCAAAAGCAATTTTTATGAATAATAAAAACAACTTTTCTGTATTTTAGTATTATAGTATTATAGTATAAGTAAATCATATAATTTCACAAATATAAATATCTATTAAATTTAATATATATTAATATTAGCTAAAATAATTATTAAAAAATTTATTCAAATATTTGCAATTATCAAAAGCAATTTTTATAAATAATAAAAACAATATTTTTGTATCTCAATATTATAGTATAGGTAAATTATATAATTTTACAGATATAAATATCTGTGAAATTTAATATATATTAATATTAGCTAAATTATCAAAAGCAATTTTAATAATAAATATAATCTTTTGGCTTTAAAAATAAACTTTAACTAATGAACTACTATAGTGAAATAATATTCCACTTTGATACTGTTGAGAGTCTTCCTTCTGTATCTTATATTACAGCTATCTACTATATTATTGTGAACACTTTTTCACACTTAATAATTCAGAATTGGGTAAGTAACTGCAGTATAAAATTTATATCACATGTTTGGTAGATTTCACGATACATTATACTAAAATTTGGTTCAATTTTGTTAGATCACACAGAAGTTATGCAAAAAAAAATACCAATGTAGTTTTCTTTATTAAATATAAAAAAAAACTTTTTTTTTTTTTTTTACATTTTTTTTCTTAAAAAAAGAATTATATTAAATTTATTTTAGTATTTTGTAGGTTCTCTTCTGGTTTCAAGACAAGCAGCAACATGATCTGATATACTTTTAATAAGCTGATAACATATTTCAGGAGGTATTTCATACTATGCCTCTTGTACCAGAATATCCAGTTCATCAAGATTGTTTGGTTTTGGTTTGTGACGTACAGATTGTTTCACTTCAAACCAAAGATTTTTAATTAGGTTTAGGTCAGGACTTTGAAGAAGCCAATTCATTATCTGAATTTTACTTTCTTCGATAAATTTCTTTACCACTTTTGCAACATGAGGCCTTGCATTGTCTTATTGAAAGACTAGATAACCATAAGTTGCAATTCCTAGATACTTTTCCAAATACAGTACAATATACTTTTTAAGAACCTTAATATGAGATATAGCAGTAACGGAGGAGAGCAAAGGAACAAGAAGCCCAACACCAAACTATGAAAAATATCTCCAGTACATATAGCTAGGGCAACACTTGACAGTATAGTCTAAGTACTTCATATTCCATTTTTCATTTTTTTGGTACCAAATCTGACAAGGAGAAGCCTGAAAAATATAAATAGTAGTTTCATCTGATTACAAGATTCTTTTAAACCTCTGAACAGTTCAACTTTCATGAACATGGGCCCAAGCTAGTCTTTTTTTTTGGTTGGTAGGGGAAACAAGAGGCTTTGGGTGAGTGATACAGGACCTTAAGTTTTCATGTACAAGTCATGACAAATAGTACTTTCTGAAATTTTTTTTTTTTTTTTTGTAGAAAAAAAGCTAGTGATCTGGGAGAGTATCAAGCAGCAGTTTTTATTAGTGACTAGCTCCTTTAAAGTTGCATGATCTACAAAAGCAAGAGAACTTAGACACTCAAGACACTTTTTTTTGCCCACTCTTCTACCCTTATTTCGATACTTTTTTATTATATTCTAAGTAGCAGATTTGCTACAGCCCATATAAGCTGTAATTGTACGAACAGAATCCTTTCGTAGGTAACTATATACTATAGCACTTTTTTGCTCGTTAGTCAAATCTTTCTTACTTTCTATTATTTTATGTAAAAAAAAAGATAATCATAATTTTTTTTGCTATTGTGATGATTCGTGGTATACAAATACCTATTTATAATATCACATAATATTGCTTATATATTATATGATATTCAGAAAAAGTTTTAGGTACGATGCTAACAAAATAAAATTTTTATGATTTTTTTTTTTTAAAAAAAAAATCAATTTGTAATTTATATTCTATACAAAAAAGTTGACTCTGAGTCTTCTCTGCATAAATTCTGTATAACCTAACAAAATCGAACCAAATTTTAGTATAATGTATCATGAAATCTACTAAATATATGATATAAATTTTGTATTGCAGTTACTTATCTAATTTCGAATTATTAAGTGCAAAAAAGTATTCACAATAATATAGTAGATAGCTGTACTTGGAGTGTATTAAGAAGGCTATATTACTTGTAACATTTTAGTACTTTTTAGCAAAAATATTAAAAATAACATTTATAGAACCTCTCTTTAATACAAAGAAGCTTCTTTTTCTCTCTTTTGCTGATCCTTAAAACTAAAGAAGCCTATCTCTCAATTTCTTTAATGATCTCTACTTATATTACATAAACTTTTAGAAAGACTCATAGTGTTATAGCAATGATCTATGCTATACAAAAAATAAAATACAATTTTCTAAATCTAGGAATACCAAGTTAATATAATATAACCTTTACAAAAGTATATTAAAACCTAGAGAAGATTATATTTATAACTATTTAGAAAAATTAAAGCTTCTAAGAACTTTATTATTTATATGAGCAGACACAGATAAATAATATACAGATAAACTATTAGAATTGTGATACATCTCAAGCTCTAAAAGAAAATTCAAAGAGAATCTTCTTCAAGAACAATTTATATTTGCATATCGTATTTTACTAATATCTCTACAAATAATAAATGTAAAAAGATGAAACATATACTATTATACTTGCAAGAACTTTCTCTACAACTTTAATTATAGTATATCTTAGTATAAAAATACTTCTTTGACCTGCAAAATAGCTTCAAATGATTCTATTAGTATTTTCAAAATGATTTTCTTAAAGAAGCTTCTAAGAAGAGAAGAGAAATATAGTTTTGATGATTTACAAAAATTATCATATCTCACTCTTCACTAGACTAATTTTAATATTTCAATATACATTAGAATTATAAGAACATAGTATATAACTTTACTTAAGACAACAAATCAAGGTTATATAGTATAAATATATCTTCAGAACAACTTTTATAAAATTAATCTACAAAGTATCTTTTTCCTTACTATGCCACATAGGTAAAATTTTTCCTACCTCCTACATAGTAGATAACTTTTACAAAACTCATTACTTTTAAATTATCATATCCTATAATAACTAAAGAAAATAGGTTTTACAAACTAAGATACAACTAAATTCCTAGATACCTCATAGAGTTGAAACAACTTTACCTTGGATATATGACTTAAACATGTTTATGTTCTTGTAGATAATTATATTAGATGATATTTATACTCAACACTATTGTAAATATAGACTTAGAATATTATGAATATTACTTTGAATATTCTATTTTTAATTTATTTATATCAAAACAGTTTGCTACTTCTAAGCAAAAGTGAGCTAATGATAAGGAATGTTTCTACTCTTTGCAAGTAGAAAATGCATAAAAAGACTTATAGTTTGTTAATTCTGAGCAAAAGGTAACTGGTAGTTTTTATGTTGCTATCTCTTAAAAACATAATGAAGTATAATTTAATTTATTAAGCTAGAAAGATTCTATTAAGTACTCTTAAACATTAATACTTAGAAAGTTTAACTATGTACATATTAATAAAAAACTTTAAATTTATTTCTACAAGTATTAAAAACAGATTTTAGATTTTCTAGAAGTAATATATCTGAATAATAAGGATTCTCAGATAAAATATCTTTGGATATAGCTCATAGCTTACTACAACTCTATAAGATAAATAATACTCTGATGGATGAGTACTCTATAAGCCAAATATATAAGCATAAAAACTCTAAAAGCTCATAGCTTACTGCAACTCCACAGGATGAATAATGCTGTGATAGATAGGTACCCTATGAGCCAAATATGTAAGTATAAGAACCTAATATTATTTTGGAAATAAAAATTACAGATTAATATTTTTGATATTTGAAATATATTACAATATCTATAACAATAATTTGTATCTTCAAAATTTTGATCTCTTTACTATAACCTCTTTAAAAACAATACTCTTCTTTTTTCTTCTATATTCTTAAATTAAATAACAAAACATTCTCTACTCAAAACATTTATTCTCTCTTTTAATAACTTTACCTTGCCTTATCTTCTTTTATCTCTCTTACTCAAATCCTTTTTCATCACTAATTTTTATCAAAATTATTTTTATTTTTATTTTATTTTATTTTATTACTCTTTTTAATTATTTAATATTAGTTGATTTTTCTTTTTCTTAGTTAACAAAATGTATAGTAGCTATAACTATGAATAATAAATATTGTGACTTGTTAGCATATTTGTTAATCTGAATTTTAGAAATTATATATGATTGTTGATAATGTAAAATTATGAGTAGTAAAGGCTTCTTGCAAGCTCTAGTCCATTCAAATATAATAAATACTATCTTGTTTTCTGTTCATCTTGCTTTATACATAAAACAGAAAAGTTTTAGAATTCAAAGTTTTTACTACATATTGTAATTTATAAAAAGTCTTTATCTTTTAGCTTACTATAAAATCATAGGATCTAAATTCATTTATTCTTTATTTTATTTTATTTTATTTTATTTATCACTTTATAATTTAATATTTATAATATTTAGACTCAGATTTATTTCAACAACAAAATTTATTTTATTTATTTAATTTTTATCTTACTCTGAAAAACTCAAACTCTACTATCCTTTTTCTACTACTACTACTTTTATTATTATTATTATTATTATCATTATTATTTTCTCTCCTCCTTCTAACTTCATCTTCTAAATTCGATACCTTAGCTTGTAACTTACTCCTCTCTCTCAATAACCTCTTATACTCTGCATCTCTTATTCTACTCCTTGAAATATTTTTCATAATAGTTTCTTGTTGCATCTTAATTCTTTCTTCTAACTTCTGAACTCAATAACGTAAACTTCTTATCTCTTGTATCAATCTAATTAATTTTAGAACTGGATATTAATATATATTATTATTGCCAATATAATATATTATTGATATATAACTTCTATTTTCTATTTGGACTATAACCAAAACTTCAAATAGAAATTACTTAAGCTTTCTTTTAGATAATGAGTAGAGAACTTTCATTGTTAGTTGTTAAAGTAATGAGTTATTTTGTTTATTATTATTATTATTATTCTTAAAAATTTTTAAATTTAAAATTTTTTTTTTAAAGTTTAATTTTATTGATCTTATCTTAAAACCTTATATATTTTTAAAACTTTAATTTCATATAACCAAATTTAAATTATTTTATTGAACAATAGTTAGCAAATTCTTGCTATCTAAAAAGAGTCTGTAAAAAATTTTAGATATTAAGCAGTTATGGAATAATAGTTTGGATATATATATCTAGTCAATTACTAGGTCGAGAGTTCAATTCTAGCTTAAGGCATGCCAAGCCCAGCTAACAAGTACAGAGGATGGCCCTTAAGTTACAACATCTGCTATCTTTTTATTATTTTATTTTATTCAATATTACTATTTATCAAGCAATAGTAATCTTATTTTAATACCTTTAATATACTTTAAGTATTTCTTTTACTCAATTAGGAATACTTTAATTTTGATTTTTATTTTAATTTTTTTTTATTTTATTATAATTTTCAAAACTTTGAATTTTCAGTGAAAATTTTTAAAACCTGATAAAAATACATCGAATTTTTAAACAATTTTAGACTTAGATTTATTTATTTTTTTTCTTTCCTTGAACAATTTTTAAGCAAATTTATAAACAAATTTATTTTCTTCAAATACTTTTAAAACCTTTATTTTTACTAGAAGTTAATTGAACAACTTTTAAAACTTTATTTTTTTTTTATTGACCAATTTTAAAACTTTATTTTTATCAAACAATTTTCTTTATTATTTTAAAAATCAAATTACATTCTACAAATTTTATCTTCTAATTTAACAACTTTTTATACTTCAAACTACTTATTTCATTACTTCTTTAATTCTTTATTTTCTTGCTCTAATCTTCTAATTTCTCTACTCACCAACTCTAAATCATTTTCTAATTCTACCTTCTCCTCATCAATATCTATTAACATTTCCTCTACTTGCTTTTCTAAACTTCTTATTATATTTATTTTTAACTTATTAGTCTTTTCTAATAACTCTATATTTATAAGCTCCTTCTTCCTCAACTCACTCTTTAATTTCTTATTTTTATTCTCTATTTTATTACACTTTTTTTTATTATTCTTTATTCTAAATTCTAATACTTCTTTATATTT